CCCCCCCCCCCCCCCGGGCGTTTTGCCCGACAAGGGGGCGCCCTCCCTCTATGTCGGACATAGCGCCGGGGCGGCAGGGCGGCCAAAAGCCGCTTTCTTCCTTTTTGCCTCACCAGCCATAAACCTCACCGCACGTCACTGCTGGAACGGTACCCGGTGCTCCCAGCAGGCACCGGTCGTAACCCACCACTCCATCCATCCATCCATCCATCCATCCATCCATCCATCCATCCATCCATCCATGTTTTGAACAGTCTCTGAATGAGGCAATTGTTAACCAAGGGCTACCTATAAAATAAAACCAATAAAGTTGACTGATCAGACATATCACTTACTGGTTATCTCCACTACTTTCTTCAAGGGAATAGAAGAGGGCTGAATTAGGAAACTGCTAAGAGATACAAAAACACACCATTCATGAGCTTTCTTTGATGCAATTAGGCCATTTCAAATGCAGGTAGTCTTCAACCTATGATGACAAGGGAGCCCAAAATTTCTGTTCTTAAGTGAGGCATTTGTTGAATGAGTTTTGCCCCATTCTATGACCTTTAATTACCACAGTTGTTAAATTAATAACCTGGTTATTAAGTGAATCTGGCTTCCCCAATGACTTTGCTTGTCAGAAGATTGCAAAAGGGGATCACATCACCTTGGGACACAGCAACAGTCATAAATATGAACCTGGTCAAGGGTCTGAATTTTGATCACATGGTCATGGAGATGCTGCAAAAGTCGTAACTGTGAAAAATGGTCATGTCACTTTTTTCAATGGCATTGTAATAGTCACTAAATGAATGGTTGTAATTCGAGGACTACTTGTATATGCAATAGGAAAATAGAAGGCAAAACATGCAGACAGATCTAAGTACAGTTTAGTTTGTCCACCTTGAAAAACAACAACAAATTAGAACACATTTGGGGGAAATGTTCTATATTGAAAAAGTGGCATGGTTATGCAATCTTTTCTGGATATCAAACACAAGATTACAACTTAACATTATGTAAGTGGTTTTGTTTTAATATCTATCCTTCTGTTTCTTTGAATGCTGTAATTCCAAAATTACTTACCCATGGCAGAATAATAATCCTTTCACTTGGATGATGCAGCTGCTAGGAAATGAAACCTTGCTTTAAAGCATGACGAATATTTTACCATAATTAGCCCTACAAGTCCAGACAAAATTGGATAGAAATGGAAGTAAGTAGCTAAAGTGTGAGGTTTTAACAATCTCATGCCCAACCTCAGCTATTTTCTTTTCTTTTTTTCCAAGGAAAAATGATAAAAATCTGCAAAGTTGTCAAATCTAAGGAGATTTCAACTGAGAACTGTAGCATCTTGGGACAATAGGCAGTTGTGAGCTTTGTATGCCTTTTCTACCAGAAAAAGAAAAATCCTTTTTTGTTGATTTGAGGAGTAATTATTTTTTTAAGCCAGTTATTGAAGTAAATAAGGTCAAATTTTTTGTTACTACTTTAACACCCCCTAATTCTTGAAAGGCTAAAGAGATTTCTCTGCATCAAAGTAAAAAAAAAAACCAACCACATCTCTTTCTTTAAAGCATGTTGCAAACATGTTCAAGTTCCAGATGTGCCAGAATAGCATTTCCCCAAATTCCCAATTGAGTTTGTACACAAATGACTGAAATAACTATTAAGTTTAATGAGAAATAAAGGCAACTTGTAAGATGCTCTCTAATCAAAACTTGTGGGGCTTTAGGATGCTTAACTTGTTCTGCATTGTCCCTTTGTTTTCTCTTTTCTTGTTAAAAAAACCCTACAAACAAAAATGGGCACATTATATCTGAAACAACCTCCCACCCCCAAATCACAAAAAACAACCACCAGTCTATAGTACTTACACAATCCTGCCTATAGCCTTTCTACAAAAGAATTCACCCAGAAAACAGAATATTACAATCAGCTAACTGAGCAATTAAATATCAGCTCCATGAGATATTAGGAACTTTTACTCAATCATTCCAGTATTAAGGAATACTGGAATAAAACCCCAATTTTTCTACCAATCTTTTAACTATTCACTAATTTTAAGGATTTTGTCTTTAATTTGAATATTTTACTAGTTTTATTATCAGGCTTTACAGCTTCTGTTTTAATTGTTGTAAATTCCTTTGGGTGCTTATGAAAAAAAGATTGATTTTATAAATCAATCAATCTGCTGGTGGCCTGTTTGTAGTCTGACAAATCTTAGCATTATATATTATTTTTATCCTGCTTTTTATCCTTTTTTCTCCTGCCACCCAACTCCAATGACAACTTTGGCTGATCTCAAAAACACAAGCAACAATCAACTTGATCACTGAAATGAAAAACAAAACAAAACCAATTAGATGAAAGCAATGTTGAACTATTGCCAAGGCAGCAGCATGTATGCATCCAGGTTTTCTCAACAAGTTGTCCTTGGTTAAAGAGTTCTTTAATTCATAGCAGTCTTGTAAATAGGATGTAAGAAATTTACTTGGTCAATGGGGTTTTTTGGACTTTACTGTTAGACAGAAACAAAGCATGGATTTTTTACAAACTCAAACACTATATTCATTACTTATTAGTTGCTCTTCCCCCATTAATACTTATTACCCAGAAACAACTGAAATATCATTAGCTGCCCTAATCTCTGAGGGTTTAGTTAGCATTGATGAAAGTTATTGTTTTCTTCTTGGGCATCTGACACTGCAGCTCACCCCAGAAGCCCATCAAGAATAATGCTATCTATTTCCAATGATATCGCTAGATAATTTAAGATCCTATAAGTACCATGTTCTTATAGGAAAGGAATAAATAAGCACATTTGTAACTATGCACCTGTCCATCCAGAAGGCAATTTGTAAGCAAGACTGTCTTCTTAAGATAGATGAAGAAAATGTTAGAGTAGCAATGTCTAGTGGAAGTCTTTCTGCTTAAGATGTTTGAATAATACAATCCTAAAAAGCCAGAATAGGTTTCCTGTCTAAGCAGGGGGGTTGGACTAGAAGACCTCCAAGGTCCCTTCCAGCTGTTATTCCATTCTATTCCATTCTATTCCATTCCATTCCATTCCCTCATTTAATCAGTCAGGAATATTCCAAAAGAAATATATATTGCACTTATTTTAATGAATGACTGGAGAAACAGTTCTGATTTTGTAACTCATTTTTTTTCTTCAGCCAAATATTTTCTTTGCTATCTCTGGAGTGCAAAGAGTGGGGCTTACAAATACTTCATGACTCCCAAGATTCCTCTCAAACAGACAGAGCAAAAACTGAAAATGTTTGCTCTGTAGGCGGTTACGGCAGATTTATGGGGCAAAACTGTGTAATTTCAGTCACTGTACGAGCTCAAGAATCCATTTCCTTCCTTAACAACATTGGAATCCCCAATTTCAAAACTGGACCCTGCCCTGGCATATTTTGATGGTGGCTTTCAACATCCGTTGTTAAGCCTAGTATGACCCTCAGGCCAACAGTAGTAGTATATTTCTGTCCTGTCATGATTCTTCACTGATTTGGCACTATAGAAACAAATGAATATACCAAATCTGAGCTACTGAGTTCAAATTATAGTCTTGTGTAGACAGCCAGTCAATCACCATCTGGGCCTTTATTGCAACTACTTTTNGTGGGAAAAGCTTCATTTGCACATGTACAGGATCTAGACTGTGCCTGAAAAACCATCCCTGCCGGTCCATAGAACCAGAAAGGTTGATGCTTCTATAGGCTTGACCCCCTGTTACTGGAAGGCCAATTGGACCTTGTTTTTTTTTTTTTTTTGCAGTGATGTGCTGCAGTATCAGCTCACAACTCTGGATGCAACGGTTATGCCCACGGGCTCTTTATGGGTCTCCTCTTACTTAGGACCACCACTTTAAATAGCTGTCCAGCAGGCAGAATTTCAATAGGTGAAGACGGTCCCTGTCTTTAGATCCCATCCCTTGTTGGATTCTCCCCCTCCCCTCCCCGGTCCTTGAAACCAGCTGGTCCCCCAGCCTGCCCTTACCGGCAAAGTTCTTGGTGAAGACCAGCGTGACCAGGACAATCGGGATGAGGACGGTGCCGATGGTGACCACGCGGTCAAAGGGCAGCTCGAGCTTCAGCTGCACGAGGAACGCGGCCAACGAGCCCGCCCTGTCGTCTTGCTGCCCGGGCAGGATCAACTCCTTCAGTTTCTCCCCAGCCAGCAGCGCCGTTGCCATGTCGGGATGGTTTTCGATGATGTGTTGCATATGCGGCGGCGGGTCGGAGGGCACTCACCGCCGGGCTCCAGTAGCCGGAGCAACGGCGCCGTCGCCTCGCCGGAGAAGATCCGGAGCCCGGGATGGGCTCAGCCTGCGGGGAGGACAACCAATGAATACGCCCGGGCAGGATGGAGGTGGGCGGGCAGGGAGGACGCGGGCCGAGAGGAAGCACCATATTCTCTATGGTGCTCTAACCGAGACTGCGGCACCGAGGCCGGGAGGCTGCCGGCGCGCGATCGGGAAGCCTACTACACACCCCGTCTTCCTTCCCCTCTCTTTCCCCCTTCGGTAACCCGGACCGGAGGCGACGGCGAAGCTGGAGCCAAACGGCAGCTGCAAAGCCGGGCTGCACGCAAGGGTCCGTCCGCCGCAACCAAGGCGAGCAGATGAACTGATAGGGGAGAAACGCCGCCCTCGCGACTGAGGGATTTCAAGCGAGGATCCCAAGCAAAACCCATGCAGGTGTTTGGCTGGGTCGTCAAAAGAGCAACGGGGCGCGAGCGGTAAGAAATGGGGGGGGGGGAAGAGAAAGGCTCACTGCGGAACTGGAGTCGTCCTTAGTTACCTTGCGAAGTTTGGGCGGGGGGGCAGGGAGGCTCTCCCAGTCCACGGAGGGAGCGGCAGGCTGGTGCAGGAAAGCCAAAGTAGGCATGAAATGTCCCGATGCTGCTGCGGCAGGAGGAGAAAGACGCCGGCCTGAGGAATCTCCCCTTGGTCCAAAAGGGAGCCTGTCCCACCACCACCCAGGGTGGGAGTCGCCCTTTCCCTCCTCAGATTAAACAAACAAACGGACAAACCAAACACCACCACAACAACCCTGTAAGGACGGACGGTTTCTTTTGGGGCTCAAGTAATGTCGGCGCAGACCCGGAATTCCCCCCTCAGAGGCAGCAGCGCGCGGAGCCCAGGAAGGCGAGAGAGAGGCTCGTTGCCGCAGCGGCGCTTCGTGGCGGAAGGATGCCCGAGGCGGCGAGAGGTCCTTTAAGGTCTCCGCGTCCACATCTGGAATTCGCATCGCCTGGGCAGCCGCGGGAGGCGGAGCTGGCGGCTCTGCACCGGGCCGGGCGGCAGAACCGGGAGGGGGCGGCAGGGGTTGCCGGCATCGCAGCGCGAGCTGCCGAGTCACTCGGCGCACCCCGCTGCGACTGGCGGGGACGGCGATGAAAGCTCGGGCTCCGCTCCTCCGTCTGGGGCTGCGGCGAACAGGGGCGGCCAAGCGCTTTCCTCAAAAGCGTTCGTTGCCATTCCCACGACCTCCCTTCCCTCCCCGCAACTCCTCAGATTTTGGAAGCTGGGTGTGTGTGGAAGGCGGGGGTGCGGGAGGGAGGAAAATGCAGAGACCAGCAGCGGAGAAACATTACTCTAGCAAACACAGCTGGCGACTTGGTTTTTCTTCTTCCCCTCCCTCAGGTTGCCCGGTCCTCCCCCCCGCCCCGAGTCCCTCATGAGTAGCTCGCCACTTCAGTTCCTCTGCAGATTCACCTAGAAATTAATTTCAGCGTTCGATGGCGTTCAGGGGCATGCGCCAAATCAGCGGCTCGAAGCCTCATTTTAGTGCTTCTTGGAATAGATTTAAATTCCTGGTTACAAAGCATTGCTGGATATTCCTCTCTGGCAAAGGTTGCCTGAACTGTAGGCAGAATCCAAGAACCACAGGCAGACGGGCCAGCGCTGAAGATTTAAAGGAATGGGCAGGGTTAGGTTACAATACAACCAAAAATGGTTTTAAACTCTTTATTATCTCTAAAATGGATTTGCTCATCCATTAAACCAGGACAGTTAGAATAGAATAGAATAGAACTGAATTGAATTCTTTATTGCCTAAGTGTGATTGGACACACAAGGAATTTGTCTTTGGTGCATATGCTCACAGTGTACATAAAGAAAAATGTAATACATTCATCAAGAATCATAAGTTACAACACTTAGTGATAGCCAAGGTTACTAATAAGCTATCAATTCGTACTAGGAAACAAATAAAAACAATATAAATTGAAAGATACAAGGAACATGGTTATAGTCGTAAGTGGGGAGAAATAGATGCTAGGAAGGAAGAGAAGAGTAATAGTAATACAGTCTTAGTAAATTATTGACAGTGTTGTGGAAATTAGTTGTTAAGCAGAGTGATGGCATTGGTGGAAAAACAGTCCTTGTGTCTAATTGGATATGGGTTAGTTTGAATCCAGCCACTATGGTTAAATCAAGCAGAAGCTTAGGGGACCAAATCAATGCTTATATTGTCTATTAGCATCTTATTTGCAATAGCATAAGTAGTTCCTTATAAGCTTTGCTCTAAAACAAGGATGTCTTAACATTTTGGCTTGCCTGGACCGCATTGAGTGAATGGGAATTGTCTTGGGCCACATATAAAATATAGAAGATAGTTTTATAATATAAAATGACATAATGTTAAAAATTTATGATTTTGTGGGCTGCGGGCTGGACATGTCTGGTCTAAAACAAAAGAGTTTAGGAATAAATAATTCATTCTTTTCAAGTTATATCTGAGATTTTGCATAACTTTGCTGCTGCATATTATGTATGGGTCCTAGGAGATCTATATAGAAAAGGAAACCAAAAAACAATGATGCATGGTATTTATTAATAAAGTGATGTAACATATAAATTATGAAAAACTAATCTTCCCATCCAGTTCAGTCAACTAGCACTAATATACCATTTCATAGTGCTTTTACAGCCCTCTCTAAGCAGTTGACAGAGTCAGCATATTTCCCCCAACAATCTGGCTCCTCATTTTACCCATCTCGGCAGGATAGAAGGCCGAGTCAATCTTGAGCCTGGTGAGATTTGAACTGCTGAACTGCAGCTAGCAGCCAGCTGAAGTAGCCTGCAGTGCTGCACTCTAACCACTGTGCCAACTCAGCTCTGAAGTAAAGGAGTAACTAGAACCAGTTTTTATGAATACATCTTCAAAACAAGATTGATTTGAGCCAACTATGCCTTATAAAACCTTACAAACCTGGCACTCTCACTATAATGAAGTTTGTACCGAGGGGTTGTCTGGGATTGCTGTATGTGCCTTAAAAAAACATAAGATAGGCCTCAACCTATGACCACAGTTAGGACTGGAATGTCAATCTCTTAAGAGATATGGATATCCCATGACTGCATTATTCTGCATTCCCAGAAACCCGCTTACCATTATTAAGTTAATAATGGTGGTTAGAAGAGTACCCAACCCAACCCATTCTAGGCTTGGTCCCTCCCATCCCAACCTCAGTAAGGTAAGGAACTGCCTCCAATTCTCTCCCTCCCCCCCGTCTTACCCCTCAATTCTGCCATTTTGGCCACCCTGTTTCTTACCTTGTGGAGCAGCAAGCATCACCAAAACCATGCACCTCTGGGACTGCTTGCTGAGCCCTGGGAAGCAGCTCAGCCCAGTCCTGGCCCCTTTTGCCACCCAGTACTCCGAGCCCCCTGCTGTCTTGTGCTCCACCACCATCCCAGCTGGCCATCACTGCTGTCTTTTTGCTTCTGCTGCTGCTGAGATGTGCCTGGTCTGGCTTCTGGGCTGTGAGGGACTGGCTTTGCATCTTGAAAAAGGGAAGAAAAAGCACAAAGCAGCTTAAAGTTGCCAGAGTATGCCAAAGCCATTCTTCGCAGTGTTCCAGAGACATGTGGCACTGGCTTTGCATTGCAAAAAAAAAAAGGGGGGGGGAAGCAGGGGTGGGATTCACTTACCTTCACTACCAGTTTGCAAATGTGAGCGTGCTCGCACATGCCACCTTCTACGCATGTGCACTGCCTTCTGCACCTGTGAAGGCTGCGTGTTACATTGGGACAGGTGGGCAGAGAGCCTCCAGCAGCCACTGCTACCAGATTGCCCGAACTGGTAAGAACCATCAGAATACCAACACTGGGGAAAAAGTGAAAGCAACTCCCTCCCCAATGCAAAGCCAGCCCCAGCTCTGCCCAGGTGCAAAATAAAGAATGGGATGGGATATTATTATTGATAATAAACTGTTTGCTCTACTCCAGCTCAGGGGGGGACTGCTTTGTGGGGTTCCCCTCCTTTTTCCAATGCAAATCCAGGCCCATGCAGCTCAAGCGCCTGGCACAAAGTGGTGTCTTGGCACACACCAGCTCTTTTAAGCTGTTTTTGTCACTTTTTCACAAAGCAAATCTAGCTCCATGTAGCCCACTAGCGACATGCCTCCACAGTGGGAGTCAAAACACAGCCGGGGTGTGGAGCACAGGTAGCAGGGACCAAAAGGACAGATGGGGGATAGGCCAGTGGAAGGAATTGCAGCACTGTGAGATGGTAAGTGCGGGTGGGCTGCAAGCACCTGAATTTTGATCACAAGACGGTGGGGGACACTGAAATAGCTGTAACTTTGGGCATGGGTCAAAGGTGTCCCTTTATTCATTATCACTGTAAATTTGAACAGTTGCTGAATGAATGTTGTAGGGTGAGGACTACCCGTACATATATTGTTAAGGTGGGTCTTTGCTGGCCTGATTTTGCCTACCTTCTTGACTTTATTGATCGGCTTCCTGTGGGCATCTCTGTTTGCACCACAAACAATTAAAAGGCATGTTATGGCCAGAAGTGGTCTTCAGCAGGTTCTGGGCAGTTCTGGAGAACCGGTAGTGGAAATTTTGAGTAATTTGGAGAACTGGTAAATACCACCTCTGTCTGGCCTCGCCTCCATCTATTCTCTGCCTCCTGAGTCCCAGCTGATCGGGAGGAAATGGGGATTTTGCAGTAACCTTNTTATTGCAACTACTTTTGTGTGGCAGGCTGGCTGACACTTTTTTTTAACAGCTTGCAGCCTAAATCTCACCTCAGTTACATGCCTCCAAGTGATTAAAATGAAAAAGAAATAGGAGGGAGGGAGGGAGGGAGGAAGAGAAGGATCACTAGAATGCTATAAATGAAGAGTTTCATTGTGCAGTCACTTCAGACTGACAACTTCAGTAGATTAATGACACATATCCATCCAATATATGTTCAAATATCATGCAAATGTCTAACCCTAGAATAAGACAAACTGTGGTTGTTTAGCCTATGATCTAAATTTGGGCATCGTACAAAATTTAATCACAGTCCCTGTCAAAAGGTTTATATAAAAATGTATCTATAGCTCTCAGTAATGTAGATCACATAGTGTAATTACAAGAGTTGTTGCTTAGCAATAAATATGGGATAACTGCACGTTAGCTGCTAACATAAAAGTAACAAGCTTTTACAATTTCTATACTACTATATTTGTGTTGAAAAACAAGGCACTTCTGGGTTGAAAGGATTAGTCAATGACATCACTGTTGCCCAGGGGATGCTTGAGAGGACTCCTTTCATCTCCCTGGTATTTTCCCATCAAAGTGATACCGTGTTTTCCCGAAAATATGACCTGTCCTGAAACTAAAGCCTTGGTCCATTTTTCGCATGGGCAAAAATATAAGCCTGCCCCCGAAAATAAACCCGCTGGACAACCCCCCCTCTGGCCAGGCAGAGCACCACTCACCGACATAGCGGTATCCTGAAGGCGCCAAGCCACAGAAGCCGGGGGGGGGGGAGAGAAAGGTGCACACATTGCTTGGCGCCTTCAGGATACCTCTAGGTTGGGGAGTGGCATTCTGCCTGGTCGGAGGGGGGAGTTGCCGGGCGACTGGCTCCCGATGAGCCGGGCACAGCCTCAGGGGTGAAGCAGCCATGAGGTGACTAACTTCACAAGCAACCGCCTGGCAAACCCCCTCTCCAGCTGGGCAGAACGCCATTCACTGATCTAGGGGGTATCACTAAGGTGCCAAGCCACGTGGCGCTCTGCCAGCTCCCCAGCTCCCGCAGCTTGGCACATTAGAGATACCCGCCAGGTCAGTGCATAGAGCTCTGCCCGGCTGGAGAAG